GAATATTCATTAAAAAAAGAGAAAGAGATTTAAATATTATTGCAAAATTCTTCTCAAACAAGTTTCACTTCTTTGGTGCTGTGCTGTCATAATCCTAGCAATTTTCTGGTGATAGATCTTTCCTATTTTCAAAGTGGGAAAATCTGATTTAAAAAAGCAGAAAAAATATTTAAAACAACTGCTTATGCACACTAAAGTAGTTTAGGCACAAACTCAATTTGTCTTTGTTTTGCTTCTTTAATAGTCTTGGAAACCTGCCATATCGTAATAATCAACATGGTTGATTTTACAGTACAGTTGGGATCTATTTCCTGCTGGGAAGGGCATAATATTCAGATGGATAAAAAGCCTAAGTAAGACCCTAAGCTCCTCCTTCTCCTCTAGATTGTGCCAAGTAGCATAATCCCCAGGAATAAACAAAGAAAGAAACAAAGAAAAACAGAAATAGCCCAGAGGAAAGAACACAGCCTTCATGCTGGGGAAGAAGGTAAATTCTACCACCACTCAAGTCTGAAATTCAGCTGCCAGATTTAGTAGAACTCCACCCTTCCATTTAATTTGAGCTTCTACCATAAAGCGGGGGTGGGGGTGGGGATTCTTTGATTGGCCAGGGACATACTCATTCATTTTAATCACTCATAATAAAAAGTTCTAGTCTAGGACTTCCTTCTTGAACTATTAGAGCTCAAGCCTGGCATAATTCCAGTGCTACGAGGAACACTGTACTTACATCTGTCCCACTTACCGAAGTTGGGACAAATGACTGTGCCATTGCAGCTGATTATCAGATTTCCCCTGTGAATGACTGACTGCCTCAACACCTTGCTGTTCAGAGCCTGCTGTAAGGGCTGGCTGTTCAGAAGTGTGCACTTGAGATAATAAAAATACTTAGCTAGTTTGCTCTAGCTGCACTGGCATATTAAGTCACATGAGTAATTTAGGTCACATCTTATGAAATAAGAGGAAGATTAAGCTTCTGAAATTGCTGGATGGGTGGAACATGACCCCCTTCCTCATAGGAAGGTACAGAGTGATGGATGAGCCAGGTTGTTCAGTCTGCCTTGGGAGGAGAGGCCGTTTACCTTTAAATATAGGGCTTGCTGCTTTGCTTTCCCCCAAACTCCAATTTAATAGGTAGCAGGTTTAAAACAAAGAAACTATTTCTTCACACAATGCACAGTCAATGGGTGGAACTCCTTGCCAGAGGATGTTGTGAAGACCAGGATTTTAACAGGGTTCAAAAAAGAACTAGATAATTTCATGGAGGATAAGTGCATTAATGCTTATTAGTCAGGATGAGTAGGAATGGTGTCCTTAGCCTCTGTTTGTCAGAGGTTGGGAATGGGTGACAGGGGAGGACTTGATGATTACCTGTTCCATTCAGTCCCTCTAGGGCACATGGCATTGGCCACTGCTGGAAGACAGGATATTGGGCTAGACCAGTGGTCACCAACCAGTAGATCGGGATCTACCAGTAGATCTTAGTGCCTCTGACAGGTGATCGTGACTGATTAGGCCAGGAAGTTCTCAAGCGCTGGCACTTCAGTTGCCCCTCCACCCACTGTCTTGAGATGCCCCCCTGGGAGTCTCTTGCTTGCTGTGCAGGTGTGGGAGGAAGAATGGGGGGGGGCACTGATGTATCCAATCTCCACATAGAGAGAAGGGGATGGAGGGAGCTTGGCAATGCAAATCTCTGGCGCACTCTCTCTCCCTTCCTTCCTCCCTCCCCCCCCCAACCCAACACATACGTGGGTTGTTGTTACTTCTGTTACTGCTTGCAAAGTGGGTTAGTTTTGGTTTTTGACTGGTCTCTGCATTTCATAATTTCATTTCTCTCTTACGCTTAATGTAATTCTTTGAGTAGTGAGTTCTAAAATGCCAAACCTGCCATGGCTGGAGTAATTTTCCCTGTGGTAATTGCTGCCCCTGGAAGTGGCTGGCATGTCCCTGCAGCCCCTGAGAAAGGCAGAGCAGAGGATCTCCACGTTCTGTCCTTGCTTGCAGACACCACTCCTGCAGCTCCCATTGATCAATAACGGGGATCCATGGCCAGTAGCAGCTGTGGGCTCAGAGCCTTTAGATGAGGGGGAAGCACATTGCACCATGAAGCCATTGCTGTACATGCCAGCTGCTTTCAGGAGTGGTGCAGGGCCAGGGCAGGAGTAAGCCTGCTTTAACCCCATTGCTCCATCACTTGGAAACCCTCTCAGTTACATGGTTCCCAGAGCCTGCTTCCTGAACCCCTGTCCCAGCCCTGAACCTCGTCCTTTATCCAACCTCCTGCCCCAGACGCGAATCCCCCTGCACCCAAACTCCTTCCCAGAGCTTGCACCCTGAAATCCCTCCTGGACCCCAATCCCCCACCCTAGGCTAAGCCTGGAGCCCCTCCCACACTCCAAACCCCTTGGCCCAAGACCAGAGCCTGCACCCCAACCTCCTACCCCAGCCTGGTGCAAGTGAGTGAGGATGGGGGAGGAAGGTGGAATGGAGTGAGCAGGGTGAGCCCTTGGAGAAGGGATGGAGCAGGGTCAGAGCCTCAAAGAAAGGGTAGGAAGGAAGTGGAGTATTTGGGTTTGAGGTAGATCTTACATTGCACTTAAATTGAAAAAAGTGATTTTTGTGGTTAAAAAGGTTGGAGACCACTGGGCTAGATGGACCTTTGGTCTGACCAGAATGGCCATTCTTATGTTCACTGTCAGGACATGTCTTGATCTTAATATTACAGTCGTTAATCAAATAAGGTTGTCTTATATGAAGATATTTGTTGGGATCTGGGTGCTGGGGAGCTGGTCTCTTGATATAAAGGATCTATCGAGCCTTTGTTTATCGATTATCTCTGATTATATTTAATTCACTTGATTTCTTTTGTGTGACATCTTGAGTTTCCAGGATTGTTCCTCCTGAAGATAAGGTGGTCTGTACTTTAAGGCTTTCTTAGTCTTTACCTTGAACTCTTAACATGGGAAAACTACAAATTGCTTTGTCTTCACTAGGATTTTATCTTTAGTTAACTAACGTGAGGTAAGAATATAGCTTTTTTCCCCTAATGTAGAGAAGGCCAAAATGAGAAAGGAAACAAACTTATCTTACAATGCAAGCACGTATTTCCTTCCATTTGAGTAAAACTTGGCAAACTTGAGAGGTCCAGTCACAAATTCAGTTCCTTTTACAGTGAAGATATTTTCAATAAGGAATTCAATTTTTAAAAAGATTGACTTATGTAGCTGCTGCATAATAAAACATTTATGAAACACAATACACAAACATTGTAAATCAAGCATAAAATGCAGCAGATCAAAAAACCTGAAAACAAGTTTAGTTCAGCTATAAAATTAACATATTAATCAACAACAGAAGCTGGGTCTGATGATGAAATTTCAAACTTGTATAGCACAGTGTATACACTTGCCATTTGCACTTGCAAATCAAATAAACTGTCCCACCATTAGTTCAATAAAAGAAATAGCACAGATTTACAGTTCAGAGCAAAGACTCCAGGAGCCCGATAACTCACATGTGCTCCAGTAGTAAACTACACAGAGTTATAGGGTATTATTTCTTGTTATTGAACTAAATAAACATCAGCTCTTGATCTTCCAAGGCTTGCACTTTTTCATCAAGTTATCAATAAGTCAAATAGAAATGTGACCAAAAGCGATTGATAATGAATAATTCATTAGTTTTCTGAAATCATGTGCCATGTACTACACAGACTGAACAAATTAGATGTAAACTTGTTCCACAGAGCTACAAATGATCATATTTGATTTCATCCCTGTGAACAGCGGGCAATTGCAATGTTAGTGTGTGGATGCTGTTTTATTGAGTTACAAGACAGTGAGTTAATAGGGGAAACATTTGTACAGGCTCTCTTGCTTTCTCTGACTTATTTCCTCCCCTGCATCCCCCATTAGAAAGGTCTGCATTACAAATGCACAATTTGAACTTAAACATGAAAAAGAAGAGCCAACAGCAAACCTCACCCCAAGGCAGAAGAAAATGAGTGTTCATCATTTCCATATAGCTATTGAGCAAGCACCCCTCATATGCATAAAACAATCAAAAACCATGGCTATGTCTACACTGGTCCCTTTTCCGAAAGGGGCATGCTAATTTTCAACATCAGAATAGGGAAATCCGCGGGGGATTTAAATATCCCCCGCGGGATTTAAATAAAGATGTCCGCCGCTTTTTTCCGGCTTGGGGAAAAGCCGGAAAAAAGCGTCTAGACTGTCCCGATCCTCCGGAATAAAGCCCTATTCCGGAGGATCTCTTATTCCTACTTCCAAGGAAGTTCCCATGAAAGCTCATCACCTATTAAACCATCTTGTTAGTCTTTAAAGTGCCACATAGGCTGATCTTGCTAAAACAAAAGGAAAAACTAACATGGCTACCTCTCTACTATTAGAGTTATTGTAACTTTTTAAAGTTACTCATTAGAGTCATTGTAACTTTTTAAATGCTGACAACATCCCTTGTGCTGTGCAGACTCACAGGCTCTATATACACCTCTCTCCAAGAGCATTTCTTCCTGCCCATCACAGAAGCATCAGATGTTAAGTTACCCTAAGGCATCCTGACATTTCAGGGAGGCAGGGAGCCTTTTGGGTTAAACATAAGAATGGCCATACTGGGTCAGACCAAAGGTCCATCCAGCCCAGTATCCTGTCTGGTGACAGTGGCCAATGCCAGGTGCCCCAGAGGGAGTAAACCGAACAGGTAATGATCAAGCGATCTCTCTCCTGCCATCCATCTCTAGTCTCTGACAAACAGAGGTTAAGGACACCATTCCTTACCCATCCTCGCTAATAGCCATTAATGGACTCCATGAATTTATCTACTTCTCTTTCAAACCCTGTTATAGTCCTGGCCTTCACAACCTCCTCAGGCAAGGAGTTCCACAGGTTGACTGTGCGCTGTGTGAAGAAGAACTTCCTTTTCTTTGTTTTAAACCTGCTGCCCATTAATTTCATTTGGTTCCCTGCCTTGGGGTGAGCTGGATGTCAGGCAATGCAAACAGGGATTCCCCTGGATGGGTGTGGGGAGGTTAGGATGTTGGGGTACAACAAAGGCTTTGTCGCCACTGGGCTCCATGAGCAAGGCGGGTTGTGAAGGTGGCAGCCAGGGCGGGAGCTGCCCGCAGAGGGGAGGAGGCAGAAGGGGGCATTAAGGAAAGGGGCTGCAGCAGCTGACGGGGGGCGGGACTAAGCCGGGGAGAAGACTCGAGGCAGGTGATGAGTGGGGAGGTTAGGATGTTGGGGTACAACAAAGGCTTTGTCGCCACTGGGCTCCATGAGCAAGGCGGGTTGTGAAGGTGGCAGCCAGGGCGGGAGCTGCCCGCAGAGGGGAGGAGGCAGAAGGGGGCATTAAGGAAAGGGGCTGCAGCAGCTGACGGGGGGCGGGACTAAGCCGGGGAGAAGACTCGAGGCAGGTGATGAGCAGCGGGGAAGGGGCGGGGCACTGGGACAGGGCGCGGAATGGCGGAGG